TCTGCCAAGTTTCGTGGGTTTCCTTCTACTGCTTAAGACCTCTATTCAAATGAAATTAAACCATATCTTAGTCTCTCGTTATACAACATGGAGTTCAACACATGAATGCATCAGAATAGTCGGTTTTCCAAATTACTGTTTTCGTCAATCTTAAATAACAACTCGGCAATGTTTTGCATACACCCTCTATCTGAAACATCTAAGGAAAGCAATTAAATCTAGTAGTTCGTGTCCTCTGGTATACCAATATCTCATTGATATTTCGGTAAACTGATTGATACTGTTGCACATCTTTTTCTTCGTATATGCCACATCTGGTTTACATTTTTGTATATGCCACATCTGGTTTACATTGTTGTATATGCCACATCTGGTTTACATTGTTGTATATGCCACATCTGGTTTACATTTTTGTATATGCCACATCTGGTTTAAATTTGTCATATCTGATTGATATGTGTGTAGATGTATATTGCAGACCCATCAAATGAAATGACATGGGGCTTAACGTCCCACTGTTCTGCTCCGACTAGGCTAATGAAGAAGGGCAGTCCTATTAAGATGTATCTATATCGCGGGAGCAAACCCGAGACCCCCTAGTTAGCGAGCCAGCTTCTCACTTACTGAACCACCCCCCCCCCCCCAATTTAAAAATTGATACAGGATCTCATATCAAAGAACAACACAGGCGTGACGGTGGCCCAGTGAATAAGGCACTAGCTGGCGCACTAACAAGATCTGGTGTTGGTTAGTTCAGAAACGTTGGACGTTAAACCTCATTTCATTGATTCGTTTCAAAGAAAAAAAAACACACACCATAAGCTGCACTTTTGATAATAACGGGAACCACGGTGAATCAGTGAGTAAGTTTTTGGCTCACTAACCTGGGGGTTACGTGTTCGATCCCTGCGTTTCCCGATAAAGTTCATCGGATTTTTCGGAGTGGTTACCACTTGTCAGTAGTGCAGGACAGAGGGCCTGGTAAGGGTAACGTACAGTCGTTTGGATGGGACGAAAAAACGAGGCCTCGTGTACACATTGGCGTGCAGGTTCAAGATCCCCTGGCATTTGGAATTTAATATACCAGTAGGCCGTAGCGCCGCTGTCCCGGCAAAATGTCTCCCACAGCAAACTGTATGGCGTATGTCTGTCTTCATTAGCCCAGTCGAGACAGAACAATAGGATGTTAAACCCCATCGTTTAAAAAACCCCCAGAAGCTGTACTTGTGATAATAATAACCAAGGACACATTTACGCCTTAGTTTCAGAAAGGACGGAAATAAATTCAACAATTTTTATATTAAAACAGTTATATTGAAGTCAAGATGACATGTATAAATTACATATCTATGAAAAAAAAACCGAGTATGAAATGATAATGTATGGGGTAAATAGAGCAACTATCGGGTTACCAATTTATTAATAACCGTGAATAGAGTATTAATAAACCACTAAAGACAACCTTACTCGATTTTGTAATGTTAGGGTGACCCGTAGAGTGAAAAAGAAAAATAAATGTCTACAGGAAATGTGCACGCTTCAGTGGCTTGTCTCGAAGTGATTTCTGTTTAACCCCGCAGTATAAGAGACTATAAATAGCCATCACACATGCAATTCTCTACAAATCTATCAACTATTACAGCCGTAAAAAAATCTATTGTTGATGATTCTGAATAGCCATAAACTTTAGCTTTTTGGTTATTACAGCAGCTTTAGAAATTACGTTCGTTTTATTTTTTTAAATTGCTTTATCATTAACTGTACCGTTAGTACAAATAATATCTCTGAAACACTTTCGTTAGGCAAGAACATGATACTAGCAGTAGTTTCATTTTACTTTTACAAGGTTCTTAAAACAATTGTTGAGTTGCCTAGCGTGCGTCGTTCTAAATTCAATTTCTTGTTCCAGCTTTCTGTTGTTTCGTAAAAAAAGTAGTCTCGATTAGCCCGGCCTGTCAATGAGACGTAGAATAGTCCGTAGACTGGTTAAGCGAGACTAATTTCAAAACAAGGGCACGTAACTTATTTTTTACTCACAAGTGCCGGAATGTTATGACCGACACTCGTAACCATCTTTCAGGGTATTATTTATAGATGGTTAAATGGTCATAGCTTATTAAAGTAGCCAAGTCTCTAACTCAATATCATCCAAGGTCTTACACGTTGAAAATACGAATTATTTGTCAATTCAAATCAACATTGATGTTGTGATCTTACCAGGAAAAGGCAGGCTTCTGATATCCAATATTTAAGACAAAATACATATTTTACCATTGGTACACGAATCGTGTACCAGAGTGCGTTTTAGCGTCAGTTGTAACAAGTGACCAGAAAGAATGAAGCTAGACACATTCAACTGGAGAGCCTGCTCAATAGACTGGAATAACCAGACGCTAGAAATTGCTATAGGGTTGAGACACATGCCTTATTTCGCTGGACATAACTGATTTGAAATTAGAGTCAAAACGAAAACAATTGAATGTAAATCAGTTTATATACAATCAGATTACATTATTATTATTTCTAGGTCCCAAGTATTAGCGATTTAGCTCGTTTAAGTATAACATGACCGATTATTTAGTGACTACAAATGTGCGAAATTGATTTAAATATTGTGGTGTAATTGTCGAGATATTTGGAGATATTTATTTATGGTGGGTCACCCTAGTATACATTTGCCAGAAATGAAATCGTTCTACTTTTACTGTAATTTATTACACTGTAATTGTTATGGTGTAATGTAATAGCTATAATACAATGACTATAATTTAATGACCATAATGTAATGACTATGATATAATGTCTATAATATAATGGCTATACTGTAATGACTACAATGTAATGACTATACTGTAATGATTTTTAATGTAATGGCTGTAATGTAATGACTATTATAAATGCCTGTAATGTATTGTCTATAATGTAAAGACTGCGATATAATGATAATAATACAATGTAAATACTACAATAAGATAAAATTACTCTTTATGTCATAACGGTGGTAATACAGGGTAATGACATCTATTCCAGGTAGCAGTAGCCGAAATCGAATACGATATTATCGGTGTTATGCTGAATTTTAAAAGCGGGTCATCCGAACACCCACGACAGCCATAATGTGACACTTCGTTCACAAAGCTGTACTTGTAGCCAATGAACAGACTTAGATTTTGGGTTTATTTGTTTTAAATCGAGTCATTTTTGTGGTTCTATTGGTCTTATGTACAATTAGTCACAGTGTTGTTTTGATAGTGTTAATATTACTCAGTCTTGTGGTCATTATACAGCAGTTTATCTAGTAACAGGTGTCCAACATAATATTTACTTTAATCATAGAAGAGCTGCTCGTCGTGGGTGGACAGCTATGAACAAATAATATATTTGTTAAATAATTAGACGAGCCTATAATATCCTGTTCTAATTTAACAGATTAAATGGTTATTAGTGAAATGAAATGGGGTTTAGCGTCTTACTGTTTTGCACCAACTGGGATAATCAAGACGGGAGTTACTAAAGAAATCTACTTATATAACATAAATGCAAATTTGAATTGGTATGTCTAATGTTATATATTACTGCCCTTTTCTAAAACATTAAACACCTGATATACCAGTTTACACAGTACACACCCGATATACCAGTTTACACAGCACACAACTAATATGCCAGTTTACACAGTACACAACTGATACACCATTTTATACAGAACACAACTAATACACCAGTTTATACAGAATACAACTAATACACCAGTTTACACAGGGTGGTGGGACGAAATACTATATACTTACTCATATTAATCATTATTAAAACATTTTATGCGCCCACAGCTGTGTTGTTTTGGGTTTTTTTTGTATCAGAATAAAGGACACAAAAGGATTGTCCATTGTAAGTTTTATTATATTCTAATGCCAAGATGTTTTTTTAAAAGCTGCTTAGAATCGAAATGTAAAACCATTATACGAGGCAAGGTTTTACTGTACAATACCAAGGGCTTTATTGTATTTGGGTTAAAATTTAAAAGCTTTTCTTTTTACAGCAGGGTAAGAAGTTAACACAATAGTGTGAAGGGTATATCCGTTTGCACAAGTTTGCACAGTAGGGTAAAGATAAACCAGTTAACATAGTAGGGTAAACATATACCAGTTTACCCAGTAGGGTAAAGATATATCCGTTAACACAGTATGTTAAAATATATCGGTTTACATAGTAGGGTAAGGATATACCAGTTTACACAGTAGGGTAAAGATATAGCAGTTGTCACAGTAGGGTAAAATATACCAGTTTACACAGTAGGGTAAAGATATGGCAGTTAACATGGTTGGGAAAAGATAGATCAGTTTACACAGTAGGTTAGGGATATACCAGTTTACTCAGTTGGGTACAGATAGACCAGTTTATACAGTAAGGTAGGAATACACCAGTTTACACCGTAGTGTAAATATATACAAGTTTACACATTAGGGTATAAACGTACAAGCCTACATAAAAGTGGCCTGGAGGGAGTTGGGGTGGGGGTTGTCGCGGTAATCGTGCGAATATTCTGGGGATAAACTCTCATATAATAAGTCGATCGTATATTGACCCGGGTCAGTTTCCGACGTGGACTGAAAAGACCCTAAGGGATTTTGAAGCCCCATTCCTTGGTCATGGGTTCCGCCAGTGGGTCTGAAAAGGGAAATTGTGCAGAGTCGTTCGGATGCGATAAAAACCCGTGTAAACACTGACGTAAACTTTAGAAAATATTTGCCAAATGAAATTGAAACACAGTTAGGCGGAAACGCAACTGTCTGGGCAAAATTCACTTAATTATAAAAGTGAAACTTAATATAATTTCGTCTCAAAATAACAAAAATATTGTATTGATGAGAACTTAAACCACATTCCATTTGTTCGCATATGTCCCTTATGGCCGACATGCCAATCCCATGCTTGAAACATCGATTTTTAAACCGTATACCAACACACATTGCATAAAAAACAACAACTAAGGATTATCCAGTTATATAAAATATTTAATTTGTTGTAGCAAAAATATCTAACAGAGTAAAATATTGGCTAATAAAATATATCTATATTTACAGAAGGTAAGTAACAATGTTCAACATAATATTTACATAACAAACAGCTCTCGTAATATATAAAACCTTTTTAAATAAAAAATAAAAATAATCACAGGGAAGGTGGTAAAACACATTAACCTTGTAAACAAATCAATTGATATCGCTTGTCGTTTTACTAGCAGTGTAGACAGGTCTTCGTTGTCTGAACAATTTAAAATAGTAACAATGACATGTCTTCAGTGTCCGGACAATTTATAATTGTAAAAAAGACAGGTGTTTGAATACTTCATGAATATTAATATATACAGGTCTTAAGTCTCTGAATACTTAATGAATAGCACTATAGACAGGTCTTAAGCCATTGAATATTTTAAAAATATAAGACCTCAAGTCTTTGGACATTGCTAGTTATCTCACCATAATTTTCTGACTTAATAGTTTTTTTTGTCTTAATGCTTGACAGTCGCCTGCTTCCAGTTAACGTTGTAGACTAAAGTTTAGTTGGCAAAGAGTTGCAATTAGCAGGCGGGGCCTTTCTGCCGAAGTCTTTAACAATCAACCTACTTCACAATTTCAATGAAATCTAGGAGACAAAATCTAACACTGTGCAAAGGGCATAGACCTTACAATGATATGGTTATGTGTAAAATTAAAACGAAACGAATCTGAACTAAATATTAATAATACAAGTAAGGCCTGTAAACAATCTAATAATAACATAGAAACAATTTACCGGGAATGTGGGAATGTTTTGAACATGAAGTTGTTTTGGAAATATAAACATTTTTGCATATGAACATATTTTGCATGTTTTGCATATGAACATATTTTGCATATGAACATGTTTTGTATATGAACAGATGATATGAACATATTTTTCATATGAGTACGATTTGAAAATGAGCTTATTTTGTGTATGCGCATGATTTGAACATGAAAGGGTTTCGAACATAAACATGTTCTGTATCTGAACCCGTTTTGTATCTGAACATTTTTTGTATCTTAACATATCTTGTTGACAAAAATTACAAGAACGTGTATTACAATTAAAGGCTGAAACAGGTCTTACTTCAGGCCAAAAGCTCACAAAGCATTCTCAGACGTAAGTTACGAATTTACTCAACTTTCAAACACTGTTAATGAGAAATATCTTTGATTGATTTGTTTGATATATTAAAACCACAAAAGTTTAATAAAGGCTATATTTTAATTTAAAAAAGGCGAACAATTTTGAGTAAATTCTTAATTTAAGTCTGAGAATGGCTTGTGAACTCGGGGCCAGAACTTTAGATATGTTTAATAAATTCTCTCGAGCTTAGTTAACAAGGTGAGTTTTGAACTCTTAAACAATACAAAACTATAATAAAACTAAGATACATTTTTAACATTAATAACATAAATATTATTATTACATAATAAATATTTTTAATTTTGATAAATAGACTAAACTGTAAAATTTGCTGAAACCAGGGCCCGGAGCCGTATTGTTTTTCTCAATTAAGCTTTACTTAAATTCTAATTACTTGCTGTGCCACAGTCTCTGGTAAAATATGAAATCATAAATATTTTGATATTGATTTTGTTATCGATATAGAGCTTTAAATTTGAGTAAGTCAAGTTTTGTATGACTCCGATGGAGCGGTTGACTCGAGACCCATGTTTGTTCGGTTCCTTCATTCTAAACAAGGAATCAAAATTATTGATGCTTTTGAGGTATTCGAGCGAAACCACGGCACCAAGCTGAAGAAAGGTCAATGACCTAGTTTAATCATTAATGTTAATCTATTACGAACTGAAAAAACAACAAATTAGCAACGGTAGTAGTCAATAACATCAAGACCAATGGCTATATCTGGTTTTCAAGAATATAGACCAATAATCATTGAATTGATGTGTATACAGTGGTGTGCAGAGATAGTCGGGAATCCATTTCAGGGGGGAATCCAATCAAAGAGTGAAATTAAAATTAAGATTTTTGAAGTTTGAAATCGCTGTTAACCTAATTGTACAAGTTGCCCTAATTAATTTGAATATAAAATGTTTATTTCCCCTGGACACCACTGTGTATTAGTTTATCAAAATTGTAGAACTATCCGTTCTCTATTGTGGAATATTTAATACTATAAATGATGGAGATCAACAAGGCACATAGTGTATATATATAATATAATATAATATAATCTACGATATTTAAACAAATAATGTATTAATAACCTCCAAAAACTCATCTAGTTTGAATTCGATTCGCTTCCAATCACGTGATTTCAAACTGTGCATGATTTTCTTTTGTTGGAATGTTAATGCCCCTTATATGGAAATATGGCCATTTAATAAGACATCCGCGGGTTTCACACCGACGTGCATCACGGACGTTTACATAGCAGCATGGTCCATGGTGAATGATTAGTATTTACGATCTAAAATGCATTAGAAAAGTATTCGTTTCGTATACTAACAATGCCCTTCCAAAATAAATCATTGAATACACCAAGCAATCTCTAGTCTCGAGATGACGTCAAGCCTTTCAAAGATTACGTCATCGACACCACAAATTGATGACGTTAGAACCCAACATTTGGTTGCGTTTCACGGTACAATAACTGTCTGAGACCTCTCACTGAGACAGTAAGTGAATTAATCACTGAGCAAAGAACAAATTAGCATCAATCATGATTTGGATGATTGAGTCAATATGGAAGACTGCCATACTGCTGACAGGAATCATTTCGTAGCATCTCTTGATAAACATTTAGTGATGATGGATGCGAATAATTACCAGGCGCATAAAATTCGTTATGGGACGTTTCGTGCCACGAGCCTGATGTTTCCGGGCTGCTTCGTACCGGGGAGATACACTGTACAGATGATGACTTGATTCCCATTTCTAGTTTCCGGTTTAAGAGATCACGTGGAGTTGAGTTGTTTGAGCGAGGTTCTGTTAAAGAGTTTAGACTAGACCCCATTTTCTGCTGCTTCAGGATGGCCTGGAAGTTGAACCTGTACGTGTATCTCTTACCATGAACTTTAGAAAGAATCAGTTTATCGTAATAGTATCTCATGGCGCGACTAACTTTATCATAGTTCATGTTGGGTTTGTTTTTTCTTGCACCCCATCGTCGAGCCACTTCTTCAGGGTCCACCATCCTGAACTCGCCGTTTGGTCCTTCCCACTTAATGCAAACATCATTACTACTGTCTGTCAGGAGTTCCAACAGAAACTGCCACAGCTGAACTTGTCCGCTACCTTGAATAGAACACAAAAAACCCAGAATTAGTTAATTCTTCCATTAAAGACTCGCTCTTTGTTTATTCGTGTATGGCAGTCAGTTTGCTACTGGCGCTCAACCCTCCTTACCACCCGATGTTAGTGCGACATCTAAGCTCTAGAACGTGCACTAACTGGAAATTTGTTTAAATATATAGGAGTCCATTCTGACCTCGCGGTGTCTAAGATCCGAATGCACGTTGTCAGAATATGAACTGAAAATGAGTTCAGCACAGAAATTGCTTCCAAATTGGTAACGTTGTTGTTGTCACTTTGGTTCTCGATCGAAATGGGGACTTCTCATTAGTGAAATTAAACCAGAAATGAGCTTTATAAGCTTACAGAATGTCATCCACAAACTTAAGCGCATCGACTCATTATAAGCCCTAATCTATGTGGATACTTATTACTGCATTGGCCGAGAAAGTTCATCCAGATTTTCCGGCGGGGTTCCCCCTTGTCAGTGATAAAGGACGGAGGGCCCGACAAGGACAGCTGTCTATTCCTTCGGGTGAGACAAAAAACAGAGTTCCCGTGTATACATTGGAATGCACGTAAAAAGATCCTTGGCAGTTGGAATTCGATATAAGAGTACGCGATAGTGCCACTGCTCGGGCAAAATTTCCCTCATAGCACACTGTATGGCGTATGCCCTTCTTCATTAGCCCAGCATAGAAGCAGAACAGTAGGACGTTAAACCCCATTTCATTTCATTTTCACGTAGAACTAGGGGTTCTAGAGTGACCTAACCTTTCCTAAAACTATGTCTTACCTGCTAATACGAAGTTGGCCATTTCTCGTTGTTTAGCAGCATTGCTTCTTTCTGTTCTCTCCCAGGACTGAACTAAAATAGAAGACAGTAATAAAGATAACATAAGAGTTCAATATAAATCTTGCCCATAGTAAACAATGCAACTCAAACAGATGGTTGCGGTTGTCGAGCGGCAGGACACAGGTCTCTCGCCTAGAATGCACCGGATCTGAATCATCCTTGCACTGGCCGAAAAGAACCCTCGGACTTTTTCAGAATCCCCCACCCCCTCACATTGATATATAAAGGATTTTTATTTAAGTCTCCAAATTAAACCCCAATCCATTTCATTGCATCCCAGTTTAATATTTTATTCGTAACATATTCTCTCAAATGTTTGAAAATTAAAGCTACTTCATGTTGAGGCACCGACTCTAAATATAATTTTTTGTAAAAGCTTATTACTATAGGACTATTAATCGGTAATGAGACAAATATAAGTTCTTACCATAATCGTCCGTCCATATATCATCTCTATGAGGACTGGGGTATCTTACTGGACTTATATCGTCTATCTGTGGACTAGGGTATCGAATAGGACTTGTGTCGTCTCTGTGTGGACTGGGATAACTGACCGGACTTGGAGCTGTAATACAGATATAATGTATGTAAGGAGTGTATTTATAAAATAAATTAGAGATGTAGTTGCAAAGACTGATCTAGCGTCAGCAAGAGGCATTTGGATCTCTTGTGGATCTGTACATGGCCAAAACAGACTTGATGAATCTAACTGTCGAACTTGTGGCAATAATGATTACACAATACTGGGCGCTTATTCACGAAAACTTAAACTAAGATACAATCGAAATTTTAAGAAATACTGCAATTCGATTGGCTGACCAGTAAAATCAATTTGCATATATCCAATGAAGTTGCAGTATTTCTTACAATTTCGGTTGTAACTTAGTTTAAGTTTTCGTGAATAAGGGCCCAGGTATTTGCCAGAACAATGACATTTCAATTTTCACCGAAGTTCTAAAGTCAATGGTTTTTTTACGTGCACGCTAACGAATACCACACTGGGCCTCGGGTTTTCGTCTATCCCAACAAATACATGTAGGACCCCTGTCATGGATCACAGACGAATCAAGGACATTAACATAAGAGTACATACCACCATCCCCATATGTTGATGTTTTTGATTGGTTATCAGCTTGAATACATTCCATGACGTCATCGAGACTTAAGCCGTCATCTGAGTGAAGACTCGTAGTGCTATAAGCGGCATTCATGTGCTCATAGTAAGATGGCGGCGGTGGTTGCTGTGGTGGCGCTGAGGTTAAAGGCTGACTGCAAGTCTTGTGTCCCATTACAGGACTAGAAGATAGACTGTTTGGGTAATACAGATCTGGGGTGGGTGCTTGAGATCGTTGATAATCATCAAATGGGGGAACAGTCTGGTCGAATTCTAGAGAAAATGTTAATTCCTGAAGCATCATGGCTGAAAAATATAAAATTGTTGTCGTCACCTTAGAGACAAATAAAATTTCGTTGATTGTTCTAGAGATGATGTTTAACGCCCATTCAACACGCAAATTAGGCCATTTCGGTACTGAAAACGTATCATTTTATTTCAATAATTCGATTGCGCGTGCACGTTGGGTGTGGGGTGGAGCTTTTAGCAGTGGGAGGAAACCGAAGGAACGGCGAAAACCCACGAGGTTGTGCAGGCGTCTTTACTCCTTGTTGCGCACAAGTGTGGGATTGAAAACACACCACTTGCCGACTCAATGACAGGTTTTATGATCTAACGCGCACGCATTAGACGATTCAACCTCGACCCCCCCCCCCCCGTCGCGCTTTGCTAAAAGGGAATAAAACAAACAGTAATTTAAAATCACGACGTATTTAAAGAAATCACATATATTTTACCAGTTTCAACCCTCTGTTCAGATCGCGATAAAAAATGACAAGTGAAAGCCAAGCTTTTGACTGATTTTATTATCTTGATTCACAAGATTGTTTTTTGCCATTTATTGATATAAGACTGTAATATATATGTTAAGATGGGGGAGTGATGACGTAATGTATATATATCAGATATAGGGCCTTACACCTTAGTTTATATTGATATAACCTAATTATGTTATAGTATGATATATTCATATGAATGGGTTTAATAGCACGGTTACAAAACATCCCACATCTCTACGCCGTATATATATATGATTTACAAATATCGTTCCGCTAGAGTAGACGTGCGTAAAAACCTTTCAACCTTTGAATACACTGTTTGACAAATAAATGGGGTTTACCATCCTACTACAATGTATGACACACAAACTCTCTTGATGTTGATCGCAGTAATCAAATGAAATTAAAGTAGCTATGTCTCTAACTCAATATCATCAAAAATCTTCGACATTGAAAACACGAATTATTTGTCAATTCAAATCAACATTGGTCTTGTGATCTTACAGGTAAAGATGGGCTTCTGATATCCAATATTAAAGACAAAATAAACATTTTACCATTGGTACACGAATCGTGTACCATAATGCGTTTCAGCGCCATTTGGAACAAGGGACTCAAAGAACAGGGCTAGACATATTCCACATGTCATGCCAAGTGGTGTCGCTATATTCTTATCTGGAGAGGATGCACAATAAATACCATCGGTGTAGACTGGAAAAACCAGACGCTAAAGATTGCCATTCACATGAGACTTCTGGCGTACTTCGCCGAACATAACTGATTAGAAATTACAGTAAAACAGAAACGATTGAATGTAAATCAGTTTATATACATTCATATTACATTATTATATGCCTTGCGACCCATTTTTGTCAATTTCTAGGTCCCAAATATTAGCGATTTAGCCCCTTTAAATAGGGTTTAGCGTCTTACGATGAGAGGCATTTTGCCCGTCCCACCTAAACAACTAGATGCTGTTCCTTGTCAGTCGATTCTTGACTAGAATTTCCCGGTATTTTTCAAGCCCGGATAACAAAATAGAGGTCCCCCCTTATACACATACGCGTGCACGTAACAGAACCCTTGATAGTTGGAGAACGAACTGGGGTAAGCAGAAACGCGGCTTACTGGACAGAGTTACTCAAACGCACTATACACAATTAGTGACCATAAAATATAAAACAATATGTTTGTCTCAAACGGACATAACATACATTATGTTTGTCTTAAACGGATAGACGGGACATAACATTACTACATGTTTGTCTTAAACGGACATAAGAGACATACAATTACCATGGAGGTCTCAAACGGACAGAAGAGACCTCAATATATTCTCAATATATGTGTGCACTCTGTATGAAAAAAAGGATCAACATTTCAATCGTTTTAGTCACTTTTAAATTAAAAAAAAGCAAGTTGAGATAACCAAATGTGATATCATCATGATTTATTGTTGGTCATAATACTCTATGGGTGTGTGTAAAGTAATGCTCGGATGATTATTCTTAAAATAAAATAAAAAAATTAGTAAGTAAACAGGATTTATGGGTATGAAAAGCTAGGGTTAGTGTTAATATGACCGTATCAGTTTATATAGTTTGTACTCTAGTGTTAATATGACCGTATCAGTTTATATAGTTTGTACTCTAGATACAACATTCATGACTTCGGCGACCAGCTGGGCCTTCTTTATTATATGACGTAACATTTGGCGGTGTAGATCTTTACTGCTTATATAATTCATAAGATCCGATCCCTTTTTTTATATACAATTAGAGATCCTTTATTAATAAGCTATTATAGTTTATAATCAAAACAGTAACTCCCCCCCCCCCATCCCTCCCCCGCGAGGAAGGGAAGAATGAAATCCAAACGCTATTGTACAGCAAACTTGAGCATATATTAGACATAACAATTCATTCAATTGAACATCAAGATTTTCTATCTTTACATAAAGGTATTTAACCATAGCAGCATCACCGATCAGTAACTGGCTATATAATGCATACACTGCATTAATAACATGCAAGGAAAATACTGGATCAAGCCCACCGAAACATGATACGAAGAAATAAGAAAATAAAGTAAAAAAAGAGCAAACTAACACAGAGAAAGTCTGTGTCAAGTCGAACGCGTGGAAAAATATAAATAATGAATAGTTTATATGATACATAAAGCTTTAATACGTGGAGGACGTTGACAAGTTTCGCTTTCTGTTATTAATGATGACAGATCGAAGCTTCCAGTAACGTTTATAAGGTTTCTAAGGCTGACGGACGCGTTTGCGCTATCGTTCGTTCTCTTTCACCTCGTGTGATATCACACAGAGAGGTAAAGACAGAAATGGGATTTAACGTCCACTCGACACAAACTAGGTCATTTCGGGACTAACACATGGTTCAATTTTATTTCAATAACTCGCTTGCGCGTTGGGACTTTAGCTGTGGGGGGAAATCGGAGGACACGGAAAAAACCCATGAGGTTGGACTGGCGATCTTACATGACTCAGTGACCGTGTGATCTAACGCGCATGCGTTTAACCATTCGGCAATCCAACCCCTTGTGGCAGTACGAGTCGTCAGTATCCGGATGAGACGAAGTTGATTAATGAAATTCAATGAGGAGCTGACTGGGCTAAGTTGTCCTTACTAAGAGTTCACAATTTAAAAAAAGGGGTATAGCATTCTGATGAGGCGAAGGACCGTTGATTGTTGAAATTCAATGGGGGGGGGGGGTGTCAGGGCAACATTGTCCTCAATAGTACACATTTTAAAAAAAAAGTATCCGTATGACCCAAGTATTGCGTTGACGGAACATTCAACCCCATTCAGTTTCTGTCCTAAAATATTCTAATTCATGCTAAGACTGGACCCATATTGTGCCCGCTACAGCCAATGAGTTGGTCCGAGACAGGCGACATTCTACATGAGATTGGAAAGAATAATAGTTTGATACTGTTTGAACAGATTCAACGAGTATTAGCAAGTATGGCACTACCACAAGTAATACATGAAATGACTTCTAGTTAGTATTTTTTAACGATCGAACAGTTCTATGGATAACAATCACTATATACACACAACGTTTCGACAAAATTTCACTCGTTATGAAGTATGCAACATTTATTTTTGCAATTGTTTATGTTTGAAAACGACTAATGCCATCTTGTATAAACGTTGTGCTTATATAATAATAATATAGTGATTGTTATCCATAAAACTGTGTTGTGTTATAAGTAAAAACTATTCTTAACTTATTGTAAATATCACAGTTAAATATTAAACATACAACATTCATTTTTGAAATTTTCTAATGCTTGATATCGACTAATTTAGGCTTGTTATATAGCGATTGTTATCCATAAAAGCTAGTTATGTTATGACTAAAGATAAAGACTATGCTCACAGTTAAACATCAAGTACACAACATTTACAAAATCTTGTAATAATGTGATTGTTATCCATAAAACTGTGTTGTGTTATAACTAAAAGCTATTCTTACCTTAAAGTAAATATCACAGTTATCAGACTATCACCGAGATATAATAATGGTTATATAACAGTAGTTATTTATCAGTATATATTAACGTTAAAATCAGCTAGTTTATAACAGAGATGTTATTTTATCAACGTATATGAACGATATGTGTTAGATATTAGATATACATGTGGTTTTGTTCATTCAACTGTCAGATGACTCAGATGCCGGGACATATACACAGGTAATACAGTAGGCGGGGGTAGATATACCACGTGGGATTTTAACTAGGTCATACCTTTAGCAAGTATCTAATCGAGTTATATAGCAGGTAGATCAGTCTGTTTATTTGTTTAAAAGTAAAATTATTGACTGAACGTGATTATTGTCATCGATTCATGTCAAGCCTTCGATGTATTAAATGACGGTTATGATATTGTTTTGGGTTTTGGACCCACACATTATTTGGGTGTTGTATGTTAGAAAGCACTCGTTCTACGTCTGATTATATGAACTGGGGTTTAACGTCCTACTCTTCTGGAACAACATGGCTAATGAAGACGGACATACGGCCTTCAGTTTGCTGTGACAGATCGTTTACTCAAACAGCGGCGGTCCTGTTTACAATTCATCGCATTTCCAACTAGCAATGGAGAGAGAGAGAGAGAGAGAGAGAGAGAGAGAGAGAGATGGGGTTTAACGTCCACTCGACACAAACTAGGTCATTTCGGGACTAACATATGGTTTAATTTTATTTCAATAATTCGCTTACGCGTAGGGGTCTTTAGCAGTGGGAGGAAACCAACTAGCAATGGTCCTTTGACGTGCACACCAACCTGTACATGGGCGGAGCTTGGTTTCTCGTCTCATCTGAACGATTAACCGCGTTTTCGTCGCCAGGCCATCTATACGTTAAAGGAAAACCAGGTTTGCAAATCCCGATTGAATTTCATGACCAACATCGAGATCGAACACGGACCCCAACATAATATGACAGTCAAGAATTGACGGCGACCTTAATTTATACACTAATGAAATGATCATAAACATAAGCGTTGTACAACGACTGTTTTATGAAATAGTCTACCTTTTAGTATAAGATGTTGTACATCTCTATATTCTTCTAAAAGACAACATAAAACACATTTATTTAAACAATACAACGTTTAGTTTTAACATGTCCATAATTTTGGGTTTATGCTTATAATGTCACTTTGTAAAGTACCACTGAACACATGATGTGAAAGGGCCGCACTATGAATATGCTGCAATAATAAAAAACGAGAGGATATTCATTTGTATTCTTATAAAAGTAACAGACAGTACATTAATGGTGTCATTTAGGTGGGCAGTTTTGCATATCTAACAATTTATAGCGATCTTTAGTACAGAAAACATTTAAAAGTCCATTATAATTGCTCATTGTAAAAGAAAAGAGGTTACCCGCTTACTCATCATGTACTGAAGTAACTGAACGACAAACGACCTTGAAATTTAAACGAGTTATTTCATTGGTTGTAAAGACCACTACGTCATAGACGTACCTATCTTGAAGCTAGTGATTGGTTGATATCGGATCTACATAGCTGTAAAACAACACATGTTAATCAGTCTGGTGACGATATACATATCTTGTTAAAGTAACAGTTTCTTAAACTCTCCATTAATTGTTTTAAAGTGGGATATTTGTCATGCAAAGATTATAGCAGAGGCCGAACACACTTCTAATTAAACATACAGTATGCAAGAGCTAAATCTGCCTATTGCAGGTCTTTCTTTAGGCCTGACATGTTATCTAAATTATTAATTAGACATTAATTAACTTATCCAGACCATAATCAACTCTCGTTGGCATCGCTAGCCTGCGACATTTACTGGATTAAATCAAAAATTGGATAATCGAGACTATGTTTTTTATCGTACTGACTTTAGTAATGATGATCGAGGCTAGGCCCAAAATTCAATCGCTAATTACTCGGTTCAGGGTGGATCAATTTGACTCAAATTTTCAGCAAATTCCCTTTACATTATCTCGTTTTTAACTATCATAGTGAGAACTACCAGCTCTTTATCTAATCCCCCATAATGTATCTTCAATATATAAATTATTTTATGCTTACCAATGGCAGGACTAAGAGTTTGTCCATATTACAATGTAGCAGACTCCTCCTTCCCCCACAGAACACCACAATCTCAACCAACCACCCCATCCCTCTTCCTCCCGTTTCACCTTCCTAACCATCTTCTTTAACCAAAATACAGATATGTTTATTTTTTATAAAAATCGTCGACATTTTACATCCTAAATGGGAACAGGACATGTAAAATACATTTTAAAAATAGGTGAGTATCAATTTGCGCAAAGATAGCACACTATCTAAATATCTATTTTATGGAATGTCACTAAATGGGAACATTAATTTACACTGAAGTTTTTAAATGACATTGCAGTGTCCAGAATGTTGGTGTCCGCCAATTTTACAACTGGCGAAACACAATCCAAATATAATTTTAACATAAACGTCTATGCGACGATTGGTCTCTTTGCTGCGTTAATTCCCGATTCTCGGATCAATAGTAATACGGACCTTTATGTTAAAAGTATATTTGGAATATGTTTAGCCAATTCTATAGCTAATGTGATATTGGTGGATACTAACATTGTCCTTTAAGCCCTCTTTAAACAATGCCACGAGCAGGCTACGTAAAATATCTCTAGACAGCTGGGACTGATTCGTTATCCTCGTAAAATAATAATTCCTAGCATGAACACAGTAAAATAGAATTATCTGTTTGTAACTGTTTATTACTTTAAAGATACTGGATTCTGAGGGTGTCCCTAATAAGAAGTGATACAAGGAGCGCTTCTAATGGGTTAATCTAATAGCTGCCGTTTGTGAGATCATTGAGAGAATTAAACGTCCTGTGGACTCTGCCATTTTACGACGGAAAAAAAGTCGGCAGAGAATAATTCAGGAATTTACTTAGGCTTCGATGTGTATGGGAACTAGACAACGCCTAACGACAAATACAATAACAGGTAATGGATGCTCCCTCTTTCAAGTCACGTGATAAACACGCCGGATACAAAAAGTAGATTCTCGCTGCACCGGGTAGTGTTCTTGGATTAAAATGGTTTGAAAAGAATTTGAAGCAAACTTTTGATGGATAAACTAATTAAAATGTGTTTTTAGTTCAAATATATCACCAAATCACAGAAATGATCATACGTTCAACAAATTAACTATGTATATGTAAACTTCCGGTTGCAAGTCACGATGAAACGTTATACGTCCAACCTCAGTATTGAACAGGTTCCTGGTTGCTAAATGGGTTTTGAAATTTGTGACTCAGTAAAATACTTTACGGACAGGTCGAGAGAAAGCAAACATTAATCGAACGATATACGATGGCGTGAGTTACAGTCATAACCAGGATATATTCCCTAGTGCGGAAATAAATAATATGTACATATTAGGCAATTCTTAGTTACTCTTCCTTTTCTGCACTTTTCAAACACAATTTAACCTCATGAATTATTGCATAATATTTTAGAATTTTTCAATAATATATGTACATATTGGGTTATATTGATAGATACTCTTCCTTATATAATTTTAATGAATATATTTTTAAAATTAGTTTAACTCATGAGTCAGTCAAACAGCTGACAATAGTATACCAAACTGTTTTTATAACCAATAATATGAGTTATATAAATATGGTGAATATGAGTAATAATATAATTTATTTAAAATAATCTTTGTCGGAAAATTGTAGACTTGCCAGCCACTCGTGCGGAATTCTATTATGGATAGTGTTATCTGGTGTTCTGAATATGAGTTATAATAATCTAGTTATAATAATCTATTTAAAATAATATATTTAAAATAATTTTTGTCCGAAAATTGTAGACTCGCCACTTCTGCAGAATTACATTATGGAAAGTCTTATCTGGTGTTCTGTAGCAATAAGTGCAATGAAATGAAATGGAGTTTAACGTCCTACTGTTCTACTCCGTCTGGGATAATGAAGACGGGCATACCATACCATACAGCCCGCACAGCCGTTCTACGGCCTACTCTTATCTTATATCGAATTCCAACTGCCAGGGGATCTTTTACGTGCCCTCCGTCCTGCACCACTGACACGTGGAAACCACTTCGGAAAATCTTGATGAACTTTCTAGGCCAACACCGGAATCGAACCGGCGACCCTCACGTAACCACCGTGGCTCCCATAAAGAATAAGAGGACGATACAAAAACGTGGCATTTAGTAATACAATATACATACCCATAGAAATAAGTTATCTGAAATTCTTAACATATTATAACAAAGGTTAACTATATAGAGTTTAAAACTTTACACAATCAAAAGCACATTGTTCACGAAGGTCATTTTCTAGATACAGATGTCATTAATTAGATAACAATAAGAGTCTTTATATTAAAATACTACATAGTTTTTTTAACTTTTGAGATAATGTGTTAACCACTTGACTGGTGTACTCGTTAATTAATCACCAAATTAATAAAAGTGAAATTAATTCGAATGTTTCAATTATTTCTAAACTTTACTTAGTTCAAAATATTTATAAAATTAACAAAGTTTCACAAAAAATCGTTCTTGAAATGTTTTTATGTATGGTTAAAGCAAGATAAATATTTTATTGATTATGTTGACAAATCGCGTTAAAAAGCCTTAACATGGACAGGTATGCCCCAAGAAAGAAGATATAGTGGTAGTCATAGATTTTAAGCAGCACATCTCGGCATATTGACCATATCTATTATTTTTGAATTTCGTACAAATCGAAGGTTATGTGCTAAAATGTGACATGAATAAATTCTGCTACTTTTAAGAAAGAAAAAAAAACTTGAGCAAATTAAGTACCAATTGCAGTTACACGCTGAAGACAGCACATTACACCACACTGAAGATATAATTTTGTAGAAATCGAATAAATCGTGCTACTTCTAAGAAAGCAATTGTTGGGGCAAATTATTGGTACACGTTGAAGGAATTATATATTGTATGTTTTATATCGAATTTAAAATAACAACCAAATTACAAAGAAAGGGTCTTGGCAAAATATATACGGTTAATCCTAGCTGTAGTCAGTAAAATGGAAAATATTAAAATCGAAAAACCA